TTTTAAGTGACTGGCGGCCACATGCCCTACCACTGGCACTGGAGGTGGCCACAACCCCTGTAGGCTGCACGCTATGTGCACCAGGGCGTTTCCTGACCTCCTCCCACTGCACTGTGCACATAAGTGCCCCCACCCCTTGCTCTATTGCTGGCAAATGGGTCATCCCCTTCCTCCAAAGTGATAAAGGCACATAGCCAGGTGGCTGTAAGTTAATTGCTTGCATGACACGTGCAGCCCACAGGCCACCAGTTGGACTGCCCTGATCTAGGGCAGAATCAAGTGTAGCTATGGCCACATAATGAGTGTTCCCTACCCAGGCCTAAGGCAGAACTTAATTTTCCTCCCTGAAAATTTATCATTCCTTGGACCAAAAATGCTTCCAGAAAATTGGTGCAGCAGACCTTAAATAGGAATGAAGCGTCTTAGAACAGTCACTTGAAGTGGCCACAGTGTAGCTTCAAGTATGGGGGTGGTCTGACTTTTGGAAAATGGCAGGGTGAAGGAGAGGAGATCCACAGGACTATCTATTGGAAATATGGGTGGAAACCTCTGCTTTCATTGAATTGCTATTGATTTTCCTTTTTCTTTTCCCCCCCACAAGGTCATTTCCCACTATCAGTGCAAAGAGCAGCGTGATATCCACAGATTTGAGAAAATTAGCAACATTATCAAACAGTTCAAACTGAGCTGCAGGTGAGATGGATTATCAGGTTTTTAGCATCATTAAAAAGCACATGTAGTTTTCAGCATGTGAGTGGGAGTTGGAATCCCCACTTTGTGCTGCTTCTGCTTCTTCTTGTGTCCTTGTCATAAACTAGATGTTTTTCCAGAATCTTACACAACTGATGGCTCTTTCCATTGCTGTAGCAAGGTCTTCCTTCATACAAGTCTCACTGAGGAGTCGGCAAATGAGCATGTGTTCCATATCTTCACTTCACCACACTCACTTATATTCATGTCATTAGAGTAGTCCCATTTGAATATATTTGTTTTTGATCTTCCAGTTTGCATGTGCAGGCAATTCAGGCATCACTATGCTGGTCAGTCTAAATCCACCCCTCTTGGAAGGTCCTCCTGGGGTTCCAGGTCCATTTCAGAGCACCCATTTTGTACTGATTTACTGCAGCTCTGATTAGAGATAAATGGCCACTCTGTGCCCAGCCAGGCACACTTGGTACTTAAAGTCTTCTGTAGTGCAATTCAGGCTTGATACGAGGAATAATGCTGTGAATAGTTGGCCTCCGGAGAAGATGTCTTATCTAAAGTGGTGTCTGCAGTGTATCGTGTTTAATAATGACTCCGTTTCCCCTGCCTTTCATAACTTCCTTGTGGCAATCATTGAAAGTGGCATGTTTTGAAATGGCCGTTACTCTTTTCCAGTATTTTTTTCCCTGAGCTCTGCAGAGCAGTTACTGGACTGAGCTGGTGACCTAATGACAGGTGGTGAGAACACTTTGTGGCACTGTAAACTTAAAAGAACTTGACTATAAGAGCCAAAAATTTGATTTGAGAGGAAGCACTTGCTAAAGCAAATGTAGTAGCAGTCACAATTTGGAAGTTAATGCTTAAGATGCACTATAAGATTTGAAAAGTTTTTTGTTTTTTTTTTCAAAATGTCTCCATCTGTGTCCCCCACCCCAAGATTCCAGAGGTTTGGAATATGGTGGTGGGAACAGACATGTGACTATGTGGCTTAGGCTGCCTCCATAGTTTTTGGTTTCCTCCTGTCCTATGTTCTATCCCCAGAATTATTCCTGATGGCATGCACTGGGTAAATGACGCTGACTTAAGTGTAGCAAACTTGAACAAATTGAATGTGCAGTATGTGGAGTTTTCTTATTGGGTTCCACCTGCAAAGAAAGCTGTAGTTATTCAGCACTGAATAAAAAGGATCTAATACATTTTCATGTTTTGTAGCTGTAAAGTGAGAACTACAGCCATGCATCTGGAATTTATCAAAGCCTAGTGACTGAATTGTTATTGTGCAAACAAAGTTTTTTGACTTCAAACTGTGATCTGAAAAAACGTCCTTAGAAATGAGATGCTGTGCAAATGAAGAGCTTACTTTTGGAAAAAATGTTCTTTCAGTAGAAGTTAACTTTGCTTTTCTTTCCTCCTATTAGTAAGCTGGCTGCTTCTTTCCAGAGCATGGAGGTCAGGAACTCTAACTTTGCTGCTTTCATTGATATCTTTACATCGAATACATACGTGATGGTGGTCATGTCAGATCCTTCCATACGTAAGTTTGAGACTGTACACATTTTTGGGGTTGTTTTTCCAAAGAACTAAAGCTGATTAGCTCATTTGAATTGGGTGTCTTAAAATAGCTCCCATCTATACTTTATGGTGGTTAGGCTGGTTCTGTGTGTTAACCATGCTCTCATTGGTTGCAGGCATGGTTAAAAGTGCAAAAAGGCATCAAGCTTTGACTATGAAGTTCAGTAGTTTTTGATCTTTTTAGACTTGGGGCACCCAGTGTTAGACTGAAGATGCCCCTTGGAAAATGCCAGCTCTTAGTTTCCACTTGTTTTTTGCCTATGGAAAAGCAACGGAGCCATTTTTTCCATTGCGAAGAACTACAGCAAGGAAGAATGGTTTAAAAACTATAGATTCCTATTTGAAATCTCTGGGTTTATCTTGGGAATCATGTTTGCACACTTAATAGTGTGACACCCTTGAAAGGATCTCAAGGCAGCTCAGGGTGCTGTGGCATCCTGGTTGAGAACCACAGATCGGGTTCTTCAGTGCTGTCATCCAGAACAATAATTAATACAGTGAATATGGGAGTTTAAATTGGTCAGTGCCCATTAAGAAGTCTGTTTCACTAAAGCAGCACAGAGTAAATACTCTTGCTATATCATGTGGCAGCTGTGGAGACTTGTGTGGAGTGACTCAACTTAAACGTGTACACTTTGTGTATGAGTTGGGCCTTATACACAGAAGCAATTATGGATGCATCTCCATTTTTCAAAAAATGTCTAGCCTGGTGTGCTGGCTCTTAGATATTCAATAACACATTCTTGTGTTTTATTGCTAAAGATTTGCATTAGGCTATCTATGTCTGTTATGCAGCTTGACAACTTTAACTAAAACGTGTGGGGTGGGGTGGGGTGTGCAGCACAACCTGCTGGAGCATGGTTCCAGTGCAACAATTCCCTAAAGAACAGCAAATACTTTCCTTATTGTATTTGATCATTCCCATCAGTTAATCCAACCACGCTGTGGACTTGCTGGCCGTTGCAGTATTGCTGTGCTTTAGGAACTAACAGATGGGGAGTTGAGAAGCTAAAGCAACTTCCTTCCATAATTCCAACCCATTAGCAAACCCTTGCCTCACTGCAGCTGCCTCCGACTCTGTCAGTTACTCTTTGATCAGCGAGCCCAGATCTACTTATTGCTTCCACATATCGAGAAAAGAGCTAATCGAGGGCAGATCACTTTCAAGAGTATCGATACATTTTCCTACAGGTAATGCTCTTTAGGCAGAGAAATTCTATTCTATAAGTCACCTTCCAAAAAATCTGATCAGTAAAGAATCTGTCGCTCACTGTGGCATGGTGAAGCCTGTAGGATAGTCCCTTCTCTGTTGCCATGTTTCACAGCGTGAAATCCAGAGATACAAAGCATTAGTGAAATTGTGAACCAAGCCACTCAGAATGTTGTAGCCTCCATCCTGCTGCTGTGAGCCAGAACTACAGCAGGGAGACTTCCTTGTTGACCTTTCCAGGCAGCTCTTAACTTACGATCCTCTCCATACTTACATACCTTCTGGTTTTGTTCTCCCCCAACCCCTCTCTTCCTCTTCTCCTTGCCAGCTTCTGCAGCTACACTGATCAACATCCGCAATGCCAGAAAGCACTTTGAAAAGCTGGAGAGAGTGGATGGACCAAAGCACAGTCTGCTTATGCGTTGAGCGTTGGCCAGTCGTATGATCCTTGTGGGGAAAAAGTTGGAACTACATTTTCTAGGAGAATCTAACAATGTGGGTGTCTTTGTGGGCTTTGAAATGAGTGTGCTGCTTACCACTGCAATCTTCGTTTTTTTTCTCCTTTTAACGTTGGACACTAGTCACTCAGATGACGTCTGGATATACTGCGGACCTTCAAAAGAGACTTCCTGGCATATTAGGGATTGGGAAGATGTAAGGGCAGGTGATGTGCACGTGGTCTGATAAGGCTGGTTGCCATAGTCACACACAATGAAGCCTTTTGGTGTTTTGCTGTATTCCAGATTGCCACATAAATCACAAGGATGGAATACTTACTATTTTATCAGCAAGTTGCTAGAATACATTTATAAATTTCTCCTTGTCTTCAGTCATGAAAATAAATTTTTGCTACCAGGGATTTCGGTTCCCAGAGCTCTGGAGGTGGTTTTCTTGTTCTGCATTCTGAGGCAGCTTTGCCATTGGGATAGGCAAAGAGCTTTAGGAGCTGCATTTCTCTTTTCTTAATGCTTTGGGTCTTTTTTTTTCTTCTTTTTTTTTTTAATCAGACACTTCCAGATCCTCATTTGAGAGGGATTTTTTTATTGTGTCAGAATTCATTTGATCAAAGGGCATTTTAGCCATAAAGCCATTTTCAGTCATTTTAATGTTTTTGCTGTGATTGAAACTTGCCACAATGTGGGGAAAAGATCATCCTTCTTAAAGACAAAGAGCAGAAAGCACTGCTTCCTCTTAATGGTCCTTGCGCTCCAGGTCTCCATCCATATGAGGTGCTGCAGAGGGAAAGCGGAAACGTTGTCTGTCCCATTGACTGGATCATGTGTGCATGAGCTAAGTTAGCTGTGTTTGCAAAAAGCCAGTCTGACAGTATTGCACACCATTGTGACTCTACATTACTGTCTAATTTATTTTTACTGGACTTGTCTTGCTTCTCCATTAAACATGGGAAAAATGAAAAGCACTGTTGTTAAGGGAACTCTCTAAGGTGATGAACTGGATGGGGTTGGTGTTTGCAGAGTGAGATGTTGCCAAGTCTGAAAAGTCCAGCACTTCTGGTTTGTTCTCCTCTAATGTTTCCCTCAACCTATCACTTTACTTCCAAGACAAACTAGTAAAAAGCAAATTTTTCACAGGGTCTGAAATGTGAAGTGCTTGTCTTTACTTAGCCCAACACAATACCCCCAGAATTGTCCAGCAGTTCTAAATTTATGCATTATTGAACATTATGCATATGTGCCTCATGAAGCCTGTTCACAGGGCACATATTATATCCTTTGCTGTCAGGGCTATTTTAAAACCTATAGTTGTGGAGTCAGCATTCCAGCAGGAGTGAAATTTCCTGTTACCCAGGTACACTAAAAATGCAGACATTTCATCACATGGAAGGTTTTTTGAGTGGATTATACATGCTGATGAGAATTCTAGTGCTCCCGAGGTGATGAGTATGGTGCACATTATGGCATGGGATATACCAGTATGGCCAGCCTCTGCTACCAACTCAAATCAATCCCATACAGGAACAAGGGGGGTGTGAAACAACAAAAGCTCCCCTCAAGTAATCCCTGTCCATTGCAGCTCCTGTTCTGAATTTCAGTCCATAGAAATCTTGAGGGGGTTTTTTTGTTGTTTTGTTTTTTAAATCCCCAAGTGCAATTCTCCAATGTGCTGCTTGAATCTAGGGGACTTCAATTATAGAAGCATCCAGGCAATTACCGGGAACGATTCTTGGCACTCTTGCTCTTATTAGCCATGCTTTCTCAAACCTCAGATACTGCTGGGGAAAGCAGAAAATGTCCTGTCCCTCCACATTATGAGCATCCACTCCTGTTTTTGCAATTTTGGTTTTAATTTCACCATCCTACGACAGTTGCAGTTTGGAGCAGGTTTGAATGCTGTACCTATAAGATGCTAGATGATTAAATGAGGGATAGAAGTAGGAAGATGTACATTACTGTTGCAGGATTCAAAAATGAATTTATTTTTACCATGTGTTGAGAGAAGGGGAAACAACTTGGAGCGGTTTGCAAGCTGCTAGTAATTTCCTTGAAGTAAAATTTCAGTGGCTAAGATGCAACGCAGAATAATGCTGAGAATATTACTTACCACGGAAATTGTTGCGTGATGTCTTCTGTGGAGCACGTTGGTGTAGTAGCTTGAAGTTCACTCTTTCATTATGTCCCTTCATGGTCTAAACTTCCCCAATTTCAGATGGGTTAATAAAGCATGTTAGCTGGGCCACTGTAACTATTATGTGTGTTACAGCTGCACCTAGTATCTTAGGTGCTTACCTGCTTTGGGTACTTTCAAGCAGGTCCTTGGCACCCTCCAGTGTGAGACGAGTATCCCTCCCCATGTGACGAGTCTGCTAGAACAGCTCTTGTGTCATTTTACCAGCTGTTTAACTTGGTGCACAGAATTGCAATGAAAGATTTAAACTGTTTTTCTTCACTGTTCTGAATGGAGCATTGTTTTGGCTGCTTTCAAAGACAAGCTCGTAACTGAATTGTGCTCCTTGCTATCAGTTTGTTGCTTGGTATGTATTTGAAATAGCAGATTGATTTAAAAGCTGCAGAGGAGCATTGCCAGCAGAGGGCAGTGTTTAGTTTTGGCATCAAAGAAGCCTTGGCATGTGAGATCAACATTCCACCACAGGATCTGCTATAGCACCAGCAGTGTTTCACAGACCAGTGCTAATAGGGTTGTTCCTCCTGCCCTGAGAGATGTCCTGTTGATATTCATCATCAAGCAGCAGGGGATGGGATGTAAAGCAAGTCCTATTTTTGGCTGGTTTGGAGAATTCTAGCTTTTAATTACTTATTACGGCCATATCTCTAGATCTTCTGTCGATGGAGCTTAAGTTTTAGGGGCAAGAGGTAAATGTAACTTCATGTTGCAAGAACTAAATTTTAATGGGGTCCTGTTGTGTTCTTTTGTCTCCCAAAGACACATAGGATTAATGTTACTGTGATGTACCATAATGTTTGTATCTGCAAGGAACAAGTGTCAAGGTGAATGCCACACTACTTGTCTTCACCATTCCAACAGTGGCCAAAAGAAAACACTCTTAATCTTCACTTTACATCCCCAGCATACATTGCTGGCTAAGTTCCCATCACTGTCTCTTCTCCTTTCCAAGTAATTTTTCTGCTTCAATGCAATCTACCCATAATATTTTCAGTTCTGCCAGGGCAGAGGTTGTGGGGTGTGTTGCTAGCTCACGTACTGCATCTGTAAATTTATGAAGACAGGTTGTAATGGCCACCCAGTGCCAGTCTGCTCTGTTGCCCTTTGCTCCCGGGGGAGTTCTGTAACCATTTCCTTCCTTCCTGCTGTTTGAATGAAGCTGCAGCATGGAGGAAAGAGACTACTGTTGGTCTCAAAATGAGAACTCTTCCCCTTTTTAAAGGTTGATTTATTAAAATGGATCTTTGCTTCCTTGAGGAATATTGAGGTCAACTGTCCTTATGTTCATAACTGCAGCCTACTGGCATTTGAAGTCCTTTTATAAAGTTGCAGTCCCTTATCTTCTGTATGGCAAGGAGCTTTGGGCAGTACATACTAAGCAGCTGAGGCCTGGACACGGTTCTTGAATTGTGGCATGCACAGTTGAAATGCTTTTCTGCTAGCATTTCACTTAGAAATCTAACCTGCTTGCTTGAATTCCTCTGCCTTCTTTCAGATTTAAGGCACAACATATTAAAAAAACAACTTGGAAGTACAGGGTTCGTGTTTCCTAATACAACCACCCTTTTCAAAGGCCTACTGAAAAGTTTCTTGGGCATCTCCACTCCCTTTCCTCTACTGATTGGAGTGTGAAATTAGCAAATCTGTGTGCACTGTTCCCTTACTCCCCAAAAGACTAGCATCTATTTGATTGGCACATTGGAAAATGGAGTGCTTACAAATTAATTCTATCAAGGTCTTACCCAGGACACTTGCTTCTGAGCAATCGTGGCTGCTTGTCCTAGTACTGAATCTTATTCATACTTGTGCCAGCAACTCTTGGGCCTAAATCAATAACTGGAGGCATCTTGTTGCTGAACATTGCAGTGACTTCTGGTGTATCTATAGGTGGGGGGAAATTCAAGCTGCTTTATATAAAAGGTTTTTGAGGACTGAAATCCTGTAATTGTGTTTGCCTACAGAAAAACTCAAATCATTAACCCTGTCCACTCTGGCCTTGTTTTCAGTATAGTGTGAGGCCCGTGACTGTCAGGAGTCATTCTAACTGACCTGATGCTAAACACAATTTAACTCACGGTCTACACAGACTGTCAGGCATCATATGAGATCACAGGTAAACAGTACAGGAAGCATTAATCAGGGTTCATTTTAACCAGCCTTACTCCAATGAAAGGGCAAATCTTTGGCACAACCAATATACAGTACACCCATTATTCTGTATTTAGATGGTATGTTAGTGCTGCTACATGTCTAACTTCAAGGTTTGTCTATAAGTCAAAAATAATGGCAATATGAAGGAAAAGCTCCTGCCTCAGAAGCAATTGAGAGAGATCCTAGGCTAGTAGAGGAGGATTAATATTGGTGGATATATGCTGGTGTGTCAGCAGTTCAGCATGGAAGATTTGCATGCGACTTGCTGTGTTTGTTGGATTCATGGCTACCAGCAGTGTCCCCTGCAGCAACACTTGCTATAGGCTGCTGTTCTCTCTGAGCTGATTGTTTCCCTGTACATCTTTTATTTAAAAGCCACAATGCTCTTGTTGATCACCACTGGATTCATGGGCTAGGTATTGGGTGGATCAGAGCTTGGTTGATGGTTAGAATTACATTTGAAAATCACTGAAATCCCACTGAAGTTGATCCAGTCCTTGGTCTTTCCTGGAGTTCCATGCTCTACATGGTTTGTGACTTTAAGAGTTCTTGGTTATAAGGCTTTTTGGTACCCTTGCTTGAAAACTTCTGCCCCACCTCTCAAACTGGCTCCGTGTGGATGCAGCATGGGTCCTGGAATAGGTGCCACATACAACTAATGTCCAGATGGGATGCCATATGTGACTTGCAGGTCCTACCAACATCCCCATCCAGACCCCACATCATTGCTGTGGAAAGGATAATGCTTAGTTATATGAGGCAGGTACGTTAGAAGACCCAGGGCCAGCACCAGGGGCTCGATGATGGGGTCCTATCTTTGACACCCCTGCTTTATATTTTTGAATCTACAAATCGATGCATGTTCAACTGTGGGCTCTCAAGTCTTCTAACGTAACTTCTTCATATAACTAAGCATCATCCTTTCCACAGCAACGGTATGCGGTCTGAATGGGGATGCTGGTAGGAACTGTTTGGTAGAGTACCATCATAAACATGTGCTATAGGCCTTGGGGTCAGTCTGGGATTCCATTTCCCAGTGATACTGTCTTGCTGTGTGACGACATACCAATCACATCACCTCTTTTACCACATCTGTTGTCTGGGAAAGCTCTTACCTTCCAGCAGCGTTGTGAGCTTTAATGTTTGTGAAACATTTTGCCTGGAAGAACCTCTGCTTTGAGATCCCCTGGTGTAGTCTCTGGGCATAAACTTGTGGAGCATGAGACAGTGTTTTAAGGAGAGTGTTCTAACAGTGAGTCTTTTTCTTTTTGGTTTGTTGTAGACCTTTGTGGGATAGTATTGCTGACTGGGGGTTCGGTATTTCCCCTTGGTATGGAAGGCAGTAAAATGTCCTTATTTGGAGACTTTACTTGAGTTTAAAGGCAGACTTTGGTTGTAAGACTCTTCCCATTTCTCCTATGAGTAGGTGTTCAGAGTTTCATGAGCCAGTTACTAACCTGCCAAACCTAGGGATTCATAACTCTGTATGTAGATGCTCTTCATGGAAGAGTGACTCTGTGATGCATGAGGCTGGATTTCTGAGGTGGCTGTAACCTTAGTATGCTGGTATTTCTGAGCTGGTTATATGTGCTCTAGGTATTTATACCACACAAACTTTGGTGTCTGAGCACTGGTGCCTGCAGAAGCGTTGGCTAACCACACAAGCTCATGTGTGTATCATGCATCAGATAAAAGTAACACAAAATCCTCCCACAGATGCTTAACAAAGTGGGTATCCAGCCCACCCCTAGGTTGCCTTTCGAAACAACACAGTTTTGTTGTTAACAGTTGCCTATTGAGGACGTTGGTTTTGAAAGCTCTTGCTTGGATTTCGGGGCTTTCAGCTCTAGGTCACTGTCTGAATGCAGCGAGGGTCCAACCTGTGACCAGTTACATTCAGCCCAGTTCCTAACGGACAGCAGTCTACATTACAAATTGGCTGGTGTTGCTACAACCAACTAATGGAACTGCTCCTGAGGCCATGAGAGTGAGCTCCTCACCCCATTCTTGGGGCATAGATGGAGAAATATAAGAAAGTTTCCTCTCTTGCAGGCCAGACATTGTACCTTCCCCGCCCCCTTGAAGACGGAAACCTTTACTTTATCTCCAGAGCTATTGGGTCAGCTGTCATTTGGTTTCTAATGAAGAAAAGAACATACTGCTGCCTGTCTGACAGGCGCTTAAAAACTAAGATATTTGTATGTACTTTTAATAGATTGTGCAAAGCTTCACAGTAATAAAATCTGGGGAAAAAGGTTAAAATAAATAAAAACGAGTTGTCCCTGATTTTCTCTGGCTGAGTTTCTGGTGCCAAGTGAGCGCTGCTATAGCAGAGCTGAAGTCATCCAAGACTTAATGAGGCACTGGAAGACACTGTTAATTAAGGACAAAATATAGCAAAGGAGCCTGGAGTCCTTTTACAGCAATAGGAGCAATAAGCCCTTTTTCAGATGCAAACAGAAGCATCACCTAATTTTACCTTGAGGCCTCCTTTTTCTCAGTGCCCTTCTTGATGCGTGGGACAATGTGCTTCTTCAAGCTTCATCTCCCTAGAGTATGTTGGAGGTTAGCCTGAAGCTGGTGGTGCTCTAGGAGCAAAGGAGCGTGAACTGCCTTTGGAGCTGGGTTCCATCAAGGCCTGTGCACAAACACTCCATTGTTATTTCAGTGGTGTGGACAAAAGGCAGGAGAGGAAGCAAGGCGGTTCATCTGGGCTTCTGCGTCAGAACTGGATCAGTCCTCAAGCCCTGATTTGGTCTGAGCTGTAACCAGTGGTGACGGCTAAAAGCATCTGTGGTTATTTGCCTGCCTGGTGCAGAAGAACAGCACTACAACCAGTTCCTAGTTGCAGTAGAAACATGGACCCAGCTGGAAGTGATGGCAGAAGATGATGTAGGAGCTTAGAAGGGACTGCCTTGGAGTTCTGTCTCTGCTGTTTCTGTGTCTTTCCTTCCTAGTAGTCTCTGCTGAAAGGGGGGGCCTGTGCTTGAGCATCTGGGGGCTGGTGATGCTTGGTCTGCTCCCCTGTCTTGGGGCCATGCTTCTCACAGTGCTTGTTGCAGGTGCCTCGCTTGGGTGTGGGGGAAGAAATGCTGTGCGCGGAGGAAATGGGTGCTGGTGGCTTCTCGTGGCTGTTGCAGCGATGAACCAGGATGGGCTCTTTGGGGTGAGACTTGCTCTTTAAGAGGCGCTGAAGCAGCTGCTTATCTGATCTTTCCTTCCTGAAGTCGTCCTCAAAAATCTTGAGCTATGGGGAAGCAAATTTAAAAAAAAAAAAAAAAAGAGAGAGAGAACTGATGCAGGGATCTCAAGGCAGGTCTGTGCAACTGAGACATTAAGCCAGCTTTGAACATGGCCCAACCCTATCCAGGCCCATCTGAGAAGAGACTCATTCCCATCTCCTGCCCTGATTTCCTCTTGCCTATAAGGCCAGAGCTTTCTATAGAAGAGCAGGAGAAAAAGTTTCAGCTGTTCACCTATCTAGTCCTCAGCCTGGCAATTAGCTGCCTTTATAAATAGGACCACAGGATGGAAAGAGGCTAAGTCTTTGAGCCCAATACATGACTAGTGTTAATCCTCAGGCTTTGCAGAGCAAGTGTTCTGGGATGTTGAGGGTAGGGAGCCTTGTGCCATCTACTTGGAGACCAGGAACCTATTGCAGGGGTGGAAATGAACTTGGTATGCCTGGAGATCAGGGAGCTTGCACATGCTGGGCATGACTGGCTGGAATGAGTTTCTTGCATTGCTTTCAAAAAGCTTTAAATAGCTTGTGGCTGCTGGACGCTGGCCAGCTGTGTTTGACTGGGATCACAAGAGCGGGATTTTTTTGAATTGTCAGTTCAATGACCTTCTCCTGAGACTGGGAAGTCGGGCACTGTTCTTCCCTGCACCTGTTGTTTGTGCTCACTGCTGTAAACTGAAGGCAGAATGTGCCATTGATCTTCCTTAAACATGCTGCTGAGGTGTGGGGGTCAGGCTGTAGCCTAGCCTACTCTTCTGCAGCTGTGCTGGCTCTGCAGAGCCTGTAGCAAAATCTTTTGTCATTAAAATTGGATCTAATTTCTCAATTCTTCTAAAGAGCCTATTGCCATAATGTCCAGGAGTTGGCTGTTGAAGCAGGTCAGAGTAGCGAGCTGCTCTTGCTGAACTACTTCTTTGCTATAACCACATTTTAAATGCAGGATCTGCTAATGGCTGTAATTCTGCAAACCCCAATCCTATGAAGAATCCAGTGTCATAGTTGGGACACTTCACAAAGGATCCAGAAAGGACTCCCCTACATGCCCCCCTCAGTTCATGTGCTATGTAACTTGTACAGAGCACTTAGGCAGGTCTTTCCCTCTTTTTCTGAAGCATTGGGAATTGGTCAGTGCCAAAAGCAGGAAGCAAAACTATCTTGGGTTGTTCTGATCTAGCAAGGCAAACCTGCTCTCCCTACATCTGTTCTGTAGGGCTGTGCAACATTTTGCCGGCCATTTCATTTTGACGCAGTTTCAACTCATTTTGAGGTTGAAACAGCAAAATCAAAACGAAACAAAGGGCATCGATACAGCCTCAAACAAAACAAGGCTAGTCAAACGTTTCGACCGTAGCGCTGGGGGTGGGAAGTCAGTCCAGCTGGGCTGACTTCCCATCCCCCAGTGTTAGATTGGGCCAGGCGCGGGGAGTTAGCCCAGCTGGGCTGGCTCCCTGGCCCCAGCTGGGCTGGCGAAATGTCGAAACAGCCTCACTGTTTTGACGAAGCAAAACGGAACAGCTGTTTTGAATCAAAATAAATTCAAAACAGAACGCTGTTGCATCAAAACCTCGAAATTCAAGGCGAAACGGAATGGTGCCATTCTGCACAGCCCTACTGTTCTGCACTGATTGGGAGACACGTGTACATCTTGTTCAGCTGTTCCATTCTTCTGCAGGTTGATGGCATTGGCAGGGAGGCCATCTAGGGAGGGACCCACCTGCTCCTGCAGAAGTGCCATCTGCTGCCTCATCTCCTCCTCCTTCTTCCGCAGCTTCTCGTTCTCTGCCTTGATTCGCTCCCGGTCTTTGTGTTCTGTCCTGTAATCTGCCTCATAAATTTCTGTCTGTGAAAGCAGGAAGAGGTGTCTATCAGAAGTCTGCCTGCCCTTGCCTGATAAGGAATGCTGCAAAGCAATTCTCATGCAGGGTCAGGGCCCCCTTTTCCCCCTGGCAGCTCCATGTATAATGATACAGTGTTAGAGGAATACTGCAGGGCTGCCCTGGGCTGGTGGCATATGGATCACCACTCAGCTCTTCCTGTGGGGCACTGAAGAGGCATGGAGTGCAGGGCAAATGGACATTAGCCAGACCCTTTGTTCCTCAGGTGTCAGCCACAGCAAATATCTAGGCATGCTTCTTCTTTCCTCTCCCCGCACCCCAGTCACTTTTCCCTGGAGCACCTGCATCTCAGGGGACCTGTACCGAGTTACCTGGCACTTCAGGGCTTCCAGCTGGTCCTTCAGGTCTGTCACCTCTTTTTCAGGGTCTGAGCTGCTATTAAAATGTGGGAAGTGCTGGCACTTCCTGGGCTTGCAGCTGTCACTGCCTTGCACTTTTGGACCAGCTGCTTCGTGTTTCCTTGGAGAATTCTCCTTCGCATTCTTCTGAAGTGGGAACTGGAAATCTGGGAATTCCTCCCAGGGCATGGATGAAAACACCTCTGCACCCTAAGGAAAGCAATTCTTGAAGGTCAGCTCTTGGCATCCTCCAGCAGCATTACCCCTACTCAAAAATGACTAGTATCTTAGAAAAGCTGGTCAATTTAACATTGGGCCCATGGGTTGCTCTTTCCTTTCCCTGATACTGTGTACACTGCTAGCTGCAGTTCCATGTCAAAGTAACAGTCCCATTATGCTGCCACCAGCCAGAGTTAGGGATTCTGTGTGGGGAAATATCTGCTGTTGAACCTGTTGTTTGTAACCTGGACCTTTTTGGGTAGAGGAATGGTCCCACCGGCCACTGTACCTGTTCCACAGCGTCTCCCAGGCAACACTGCAGGAACCAGCTCACAACCTGCTGGAACTCAGCAGGACAGGCCAGTTCTGAGTGCCTGTACGATGTATTAGTTGATAGAAATCCTGAGTCATGCCTGTATTGTTGGCATGGGACTTGTGATGGGAGACCGGACCATGCCTGAGGCACCAGATAGGAAAAGTGTAAAGGTAAAACTAAGGAGTCATGGTACCCAACCTGCTCTCAAGGGAGTACTCTGCCACTGAAGAGACTACAGCAGATATCCTGGCTGTCTCATTCCAGTAAAATTGGGTATTTTCTGCACCAATTTATTTTGGGTAATTTTGAGTCATGATTACTGTGAGGAGGGTGCTCAAGCCACTCAAGACCAGTCTGAGTGGCTGATAGCAACAAGATGGGAGGGACAACAGTTCTAGGACTTTTGTCTTGATGTGACAGCATGGTCCAGTGATTAAGCACCGGACACTTAAGAAATATGGGTTGTTCCTGCCTCTGAGCCAGCCCACTATATGACCTCAATCAAGCATCTTCCTGTCTGGGTATTAGCTGTTCTTCCTACCACCCTTTATTTATCTAGTCTGCTTCAGCTGTAAGATCCTAAGAGCAGAGGTGCTTGCTACACAACAAGAACCCTACATCATCCTGGGGCATTTAGATGTTGCTGTAATACAGGTAACAGTGTGGTGGTTATTGTGACTGTCACCCTGTTTTGAAACCTGTGCTTTCAGCATGGTTGCACTGAAATGATTCTCTAGCACTGTGCAACTGGCTGCTGGAGCGTGGGACTGATTTAAGCTGGATCAAGGCTCCAGTATAGGTTCCTATTAAGAACAAAGCACAGTTGAGTGCTTATTGGACAGCCCAAAGAGTACAGTTAAAACCAAGCTGTGTCATTCTTCAAAGTCAACATCAACCAGGAAGACCTTGGGAAGTGCAATGGAAAGAGGACTGAGAGTGCTGACTGGCTGGTAAGGTCACATGATCTAAGACTACAATTTGGTTTTCACTGAGACAGCAGTTGTTCTGCTGTTCTGTTCTAGCCCCCATGCCGCAGGTGGTGAGTTCTTTGTGTGCTGTCTAACCCCGCTCAGAGGAGGTCCCATACCCTTCTAATGGCTTGTCCACTTAAAGATGAATGAGGATTAAGGTGAGATGTAATCTAAAGTAGTGATTTTCAACCTTTTTTTTGCACCAGGACCCATTTGTAAACATTGACCAGTCCTGACCCAGTGCCCCTTGCTCCCAACCCACTGCCCCCAGCCCCACAGTGTGTGGGGCACTGGTAGGGGCACAAGCAGCCCTTTGCAGGCTGGAACTCTTGCCAGCCTGCAAGTAAAAAGCCACGGTTTCCCACTTGTTTTATCCTTTAATGGAGAATCCATTTTTAAAGTTTGTTCACAACCCTTTCATATGCTCTTGTGACCCACGTGTTAAGAACTGCTGATCTAAAGCATCCTAGTGATTCCCAAATAACTCTCCTGTACACACTGCTTCCAGAGTATATGGGTACTCATGGCTATTCTGGAATGGCTCTGCCTAAATAACTCTTCCAGAACAATTCCTGGTGTAGAAGGATCTGTTGGCATCCAAGATGGACACCCAAATTTAAAAAACCTGCTCCAGATCCACATTTAACATGTGTATCCTGAACTGCAGCAGTGGCCTTTGAGGAATATGTTTTACTTGGTGCTGATACCTGACCATGGTAGCCAGCTCCCTAGGCTTGCACGGCCCAGGACGTTCTAAAACCCATGTCTGCATCTGCACTAAGCTGCTGATACTGTCTTTCATCCCAAATCAGCAGGCTGATGACCAGGATGGGTGCCTTTCCAAAACCCAGGAACTGTTCTGAAGATAATGGGGCTCCTCTCCCTCCCTGAGTGACAACTGAGGTGTCTGTTTTCTGAGCAGCTCTCAAGCTATGCTCTTGAAGCCCAATGAATCATAGCCCTCTGTTTGTAACACTATAGCCTTTGGATGCAAGCCAAGATCCTGTATTCTAATGCAAGAGGGAGGAGGGTTTGTAACAGACTTACAGCTGAGGTCCTTTTCTCCCTGCTATGGTGTCGATTGCCTTCTAACTGCCTTACATACTCCTGTAAATGCTGGTTCTTCTTGAGCTCCTGGATCAGGGTTTGTTCGTAGTACTCCCTCTTGTTCTGAAACGGGCAGGCAGACAATCAGAAGTGGCATCTACTATCCAAATGGAACACGCAGGGCCTGGATGATAAACTTGTCCATAGAACAGGATCCAGAAAATGAAAGCTTTCTCCAGTTATTGAGCCTTATTGAGAAACATCATGGAGACCCAGCTCTAAAGGGTGAGCTGTAATGTCTGCAAGTGCTAAGCCTTGCAATTCTTTCTGTTGTTTCGCCATGTCGTTTACCAGGAGCTAAACTGGTGGAAATATACCGTATAGTGGGCAAAGCATTGATCTGGGATTGAGGAGACCTGAATCCTGTCCCTGGCCCTGCTACCAACCTGCTGTGTGACCCCAAGCAAGTTGCATCAACTCTACCTCAGCTTCCTCATCTGTGAAATGGGGCTAATGGTACTTCCTTTTAAGTGTTCTTAGAGCTACAGGCCAGGAGTTTATATGCAAATGATTTGTCACCATGATTCTAGCATGCTCTTTCTCTCGAGTGGCTTCCCCATACACCCCAAAGCCATTCAGTGTTAGAAGTGAGGAGAGGAGCTTTGGAAAATGATCTGGGCAGTGAGTATCCTTTCTCCTTCCAGCCCATCAGAATTCACCTCAGTTGTGAACTGCAGCAGACTTGAACCAGGGGTTTCCACAGGTGAAAGACAAATGAACTTAATCCATGTTGTCACCTACCAGATTAGTTTAGAGGGGAAGGGAGGGGAAGCTGCTCCTGCTACTTGGTGTGCTTCATTTCTACCTCCAGTGGTGTGTGCATGTGTGAAGTGGTGCAGCAATGCTGTGTTTCAGGGAAGCTGGGAGGATCCTCAGAGAGAATATTGCTAAAGAACTGAAAAACTGACCTTACAAGTGATACTTCCAGCCCAGTTAGCTGTGAGGTGATGCTAAACCAGGCTCATCTTTCCTGTATGATCTATTGGTTCTGAGATTAGAGCCACAAGTAAACTTGGGTTATTATCAAAACCTCTGGCCTGGCCCTCAGGCTCATCCCTGCATGATGCCGCCCCCCCAATGCTTAGAAGGTATTGGGTGGCTATTTTTTCACCTGTTCATGCTCCAACTTCATGGAGAGCTTCTCTGTCTGCTGCTTGAGGGTGAGCACCTCCTGCTGCAGGGCCCTGATCTTCTGCTGCAGCCCCAGGGATGTGGTGTGGTAAATCTGGTCCCACTCTTGATTCAGCTTCATCAGCTGCAAAGAAGAGACAAGCCAGTGAGGGGCTGGTGGGAGGCTGGTGCCCAGGGGTGTAGTGGCTGTACTTCCAGCCTCCTGTGAGAGGCTGCTCTCTGTTCCAGACCAGCCCAAGGGAGGGATATGTTGCTGGGGGTCAAGCCCGCACTATCCATTGTACTATAGTGTTATAGGAATGTATAACTTCTGCTAGAAGAAATTTGGGAGATGGGAAGGATCTGGGATAATCAGCCTCAGAGTTCTCATCCCAGAGTTCTCTATGCCTAAAACCCTACTCTGGCCAGAACTAGGGAACCACTCATTGTGATTGATTATAGGACTGTGGCACTTCAATGGTCACATCTGCTCAAGAGGTGTTATGCTTTCAGGGCTCAGTTGTGCACTTGTAGCGATCTTGTGGGCTGCTCTTCACAAAAGACTCTTGTCTGTTAGTATGCGACTAAGTTGCACTAGCTACCACCACGTCAAACGGTATGGTAGGAGAAGCTGTGGTTGTCATGCTAGGCAACTCTGGTTGAGCTCAGGCGGTGACCCAGCTGGCAGGTACGACCACAGCCTGATCAGAGAAAGCATCCTTCCACACTGACTCTCTCCTGTGGCGATTTTGCAAATGCTGCTTTGGCCTCCCTCCTTCAAGTACAGTGTACAACTGCTCCTCCATCCCCCAGGCACTAGCCTCTCAGCTCCTTGGATCACAAGTGAAGGGACAGATGCAATGCAATCAAGTTTGTGCATGGCAGGGGATGACACGGCAACCCAGCGCAGTCAGCACTATGGGGCAGGACTGTTCTGAGCCTGGCTGGGAAGGGATGAGAGTAAGCAGTGGGTCCTGTGCCATATGCCCTGCCCCTTTGCTACACAATGAGTTGAAGGGAGCTTGAACCTTAAGGGACAAGAGAAGTTGCCTCCTGATGGCCTGCAGCTATGCAGGAGCAGGACAGGAAGATGGAGAGTAGGGCCTGAGTGCTGATCCTTCTGGGCAGCAGTGGCTGAGATGGCAGGAATATTCCTTCCCCACCCCCTTCCCCTCGGGTGGAGGAACCACCTACATGCTGGGTGGGGAGGAATCCCCAGTCCAGGCTTTGCTCACCTCCTTGTTGATGCGCCGCAGCTCTGTGTTCTTGTTGAGCAGCATCAGCTTCTCCTCATCGGCTGAGGTCACCGTCATGCTCTCCGAGATGTAGGTGACAACCTCCTCAGAGTCATTCCTGTCAGAGATGGCAGGCTCACTCAGCACTCCAGGAGCATTCTCCCTGCCCAGCCATCAGGAGAGAAGGAAAGTCAAGGACAGGACCACAAGGGCACAGCTTTACTCTTAATGCCAAGCCACCTCATGCAGATGGACCTTATAACAAGAACATGTATTCCTCTGTGAGGACCTATCCTTTAGCTACCCTCCTCACCCGGGCCTGGACATGCATTGTACTCACAATTAATGCCATATCCACTGGCTGGCCTTAGCCTATGGCCCCTTGCTCTATAGACAGCTACCCTAGGAGCAGCAGCTGAAGAGCACAGCTGGGACAGAACTGATGCTGAGAGAGATCTTGCTCTTACCTGGTAGTCAACATATCAGGCTATGATCCATTCACACCATTCAGGCTGTAAGTAAAAGCCCTCTAAGGCTCCGACTTGATGCCAAGAGCCCAGCTGTCTTGCTGAGGAGAGCTCTGGGGATGAGTTGCATAGATCTCACGCCAATTGGGGAAGTTCTTGGTAAGTGTATTTGCATACACCAGATTTGCATAAGCAACTTCATTGAAAGGGGGTTTGAAGGGGGATTTTGGCTAGAAAAGTGCATGTGCACGTGAAAGCAAAAGCTTATAAACCCCAAGCAAGCTCCTAACAGCAGATCTGTGAGGGACCCAATCCTCTTGTCTCCTAATGACCCCACTCAGCAGTTTGTAAAGCCAAACAGACAGTATGGTACCAGAAAGTGTTGTTCCTGAGACTTTTCATGAGTGGAGCTGAATGATCCCCACAGAGAAAAAACATGCTCGTTGGTATATAACATCTCTTCTCACCAATCTGCAAACTAGATGCAGCTTTGCGCTTCTGCCCTGCTTCTCAGCAGGGGCTGTGGCTGTGGTAAAGTCTAATCTTACTGCAACTTTCACCACCTGTACCACAGCCAGGCCTTTGTAATTGTGCTGTGAGGTATCAGCATAAACAGCCAAATTCTGAGCAGACCTTGTTTTATGAAGTGACTCGAGCTTATTTTGTCAAACCATGGTCCCTGATTTCAGCCACGATGACTACACCTCCAGCGTGGTGTTTGTGTGTTTACTGTATCTCATTTTAGTTTCTTGTCCAGATTAATCCAAATCACAAACTTGCATCCCTGTCCACATCCAATAGCCAAGTGAAATCCAAAAGCAAAAAATCTAGCAATTCCCATGTCTCCTTTTTTTCTACCAAGTTGTCATCCTATGTGCAGCTCCCAGGCCAAAAGGCATGGGAATTCATATGCCTTGCGTTACGCCTGATCTTAGACCCAACACCCCTGGATCTGGGTTGCTCTCTACCATGCAGTTTTACAATTCTGAAACAAAGCCAAACAGGCCAGAACAGCATCCACACACCCACAGCCACACAAGCATGGGGATTTCAAACCACAGTCATTTCATAGCTCTGTTAAATTACCAGACTTGCAAGTAACTAGCTTAAAAGAAAAAAAAAAAAAAAAGGAAGGCTTTTCCTCAAGAGCATGTTGTGGGTTTTGGATTTGATCAGCAATAGCTTCTACCAAAGGGCTTTAAACCCCTTTCTGAGCAGCAGTTCAGTTGAAGGAGCTGTGATCACTGCCGGCCTTATAGCCGTACTCTTCCTCTTCCCACTTTCGCCCCTGCCTCTTTTTTTCTTCCTACTTTGCTGAGTTATCTTAGCCGCTTTTACTTTGGCTGAAACAAGAACCGCCTGGGACAGCAGCAGCCTCATGGGATTCAGACAGCTCCCTTGCGTTCACTGGAAAGGGGAAGCAGAGGGAAGGTAAAAAAAGGGCATTTGTATCTTGTGGAAACACTGAGAGGTTCTAATTCAGGTTCCGGAGCAGATCTACAGATCTCTGACACCAAGTCTGAGAGGAAAAGCAAGATGGTATTTTTACTGTTTGCTGTCCCACAACCAAGCCGATGTGAAAGAGACTGCTAAGTACCAAC